ACTTCGTTCAGTTACGAGTCTTATCTGTACGTCCTTGGTTAACAGAATCGATTGAAAATTTCTTCAATACTCTTGAATGGTCTTTGATAAGCACAATTGCAGTTTGTTTCAATTCATACGTCGTAACGTAGTCTTTCAATTACTCAAGGGGTCGTTGTCTTCAGGGCAGTAGCCATTTGACTTTTCATCTTGGATTTGAACGTATTTCAGGACAGCGAATCTAACTGTTCATGAGTCTTGATATGTCATATCGTCAGCATACTGTATTATTAGCGAACACGTCATTGTCAGTAGGTAAATTGAATCCATCTTTGCTGTACAAATTTCGACTAAGGATACTACACTTTTTCTCAAAGGTCATAATTCAGAGCCTATATATATCACGATTGTAGCAAGAGTATCTCACATTCTCATATTATGGAAGGAACTTCTCAAACTTTTCCTTACACCATAAAACTCGTTGGTCTAATTGGTAGTCATTCTCTTGGTAGAAATCCAAGGTTTATGACTACAGCGGTAGATTTAGGAAGAGAATTGGTAAGGAGAAAAATAAGGCTTACATATGGAGGGGGCAACGTTGGCCTTCAAGGAGCTGTTGCTTCAACAATTTATACCAATGGTGCTATAGTTAGAGGCTTCATACCAGGGTACATAGCAGGACGACAGGTCTATGGTCCTACATACGGTGCAGAGTACACCATTTCTAGCAATTACTACAAGTATTTCGAGATGAATCATGTGGTGGAGGCTTTCATCATACTTCCCGGAGGAATTGATACTATGGAAGGTTTGTTCACCTTAATTTCGTGGGCATCTGAAGGTTTGCACAATAAACCCATTGGTCTCTTGAACATTGACGGTTATTTTAATAACCTAATCAAATTTCTAGATGATGCGGTAAGGTAGAACTTCATGGCTTCAAGTCAGAGGAAACTTTTCATTTCTTCTTTCTTCGTTGATGAGCTTCTAGACAAACTAGAGTTTGCTAAAGCTTTTCCAGGTCCTGGGGCTAGTTACGACGAGTTTACAAATCCTGGGAGATTGGATTTAGAGTTACATTTGTAATATTACTTCATGTAATTCCAGTTCTGTTTGTGTTGGAATAATATTGTCCATGAACATTATGAGTTAACCACAAATATTATTCTAAGCTGCATGGCCAGTGCAAGTCAGAAAAAATATTTCTTTTCAACATCAGAATGCATCATGTAAATATCAAACATTTTCTCAAGATGGGTCAAATGAAAGATTTCATTATACTAGGTGTTCGACATATGTAGATTCAAGCAAATACGAATATTTTTGGGATACAAATTGGAAGATGTTTTATCTTTTACAAAGAGTTGTCACTATTATAAACATTCATTCTTCAATACATTCTCGAACTTTTTCTTGACGATAATTTGACATTACAGGAGTATCATTCTTGGTTTGAAGTGCTTTTAGAACGTTGACTTCTTCCTGAACGAACAGATTGATTTTGAATAGAAGTAATCGAATATGGTCCAGGGTTAGTGGGACATTCCCTTCGGAAATGTCCAGATTTGCCACAACCTAGACATAACCCTTGCGTAAACCGACATTCTCCTGGATGGTGTCTTTTACAAATATTACACTTTGGATGTTTCCATACTCTCATTTTGTTTACGGATGTCGTCGTTGAATTTGTCATTGACTTTCCCTTTTTTGAGTGTAGGGCACTTTTTATTTCTTGCAAGGGTCTCTTCCCAGTTGTATTTGGTTGTACATTTGAATTGGCATTCTCAGTCTTTAGACTTTCATAGTAATCACTTAAATCCTTTTCAGCTTTGGATATTAGGTCGTATGCCTCAATAAAATCCATAGTTTGAACGGTAGATACGTGTGGCCTGAGATCAGGTCGAAGTCTTTTGCGAAACTCTTCAATGCGGTCAGCCGCTGTGCTCACCAGTGTGGGTGCAAATTGAGCGAGATGGACAAATCTTTATCGATATTCAGGGAGTGCCATATCTCCTTGCTTCAATTCAACAAATTCAGCACGCTTCTCTTCACGGAATCGGGCTGGGATATATTCTTTCTTGAATGCCCAATCAAAGAATTCCCAAGTCCAAGGTTTAGGTGTGTTTGGATTTTCGTCAGTGCGTTTCCACCATTCACAGGCTTCCTTGCGGAGCAATTGAGCTGCAAATTTTGGATGATCAACGAGAGGTATGTTCAAATTTTGTAGTACACGAGCGGTCTGCTCAATCCATTCAAGAGCAATTTGGGGTTCGGCAATTTGATCTCCCAGAAACTCCTCAGCACCATTATCTTTCAAGGTTTTGAAAGTGATCAAACGAGGTGGTGGTGGAGGTGGTTGAAACACAGAGACATTTGTCATTTGTTGCAAAAAGTTTACCATTAAGGTAGGTAACATAGCATGAGGTTGACCTCCAATATTTTGATCATTTTGGGGAATATTTTGTGGGTTCACTGGTTCATTTTGAATAGGTGCGAAATTGGATACTTCGGTATGAATATTCTCTTGTTCATTGTTTGGCACTTGATTACTTTGACCGTGAGCGGTTTCTTGACTCATTCTACAATAATAGAAATTTCTTCATTAGAATTCTCTACTTGAATAGGCGAGTTGACAACGGATATTTATTGAGACTATATCGATGTTTAAGTCACTAATTGTGTCATAACAATATGTGTCACTTCATTCAACAAGATTGAGCTATCCATAGCTTCTAGCGAGTAGGTTCCTTTAAATTTGACCGAACAAGTTGTCAATACATAGTAAAGGGTAGCAATTCTTGATCGTCAGTTTGTCTATCCTAATAGAGATGTGATAGTATCTTTGACCGTAAGTCAATATTAGAGAGCACAATGGATTCTCTAAGCTGATCAAATAAGTCATAGATACGAGATAAGGATAACGTCAATTTCCCTGTAGGATATTTCAACAAAGTTTTGCAAGGAATTATTGCTGAACGAACGATTTTGATTCGTATAATATAATCGCATATTTACGTCGTAATGAGTTAGACATCTAAATGGGATACTTTTAGACAACAGAGTTTATTGATTCTAGACGTTCGTGTTTAAATCAGCAATTCGATCATCTTCAGTCCACATGAGGATCTTTGACAGCAGCTTTGCGAATGTTATTCAACATTACGCGTTTCTTCATAGTCGTCTCACTTCTATGCGACTTTGCGAGATAGATCAGCTTCGTCAATCGCGATATGATAAGTACGTTGATAACATATCACAATTTTTTTTTACTTTCGTCTCTTCACCGAGTACGAAAAATCTACTTGAGTCTATGCTCGATATAATTTCACTACTAACAATTGTTATCTAGTGAGAATTTTAACAAAGTCAATATTTATCTAATAAATTCTCATACCTTTCCTGGAGCAGAGGGATGCGAGAGTCGTGGATTTGACTGACACATTTTTTTTAATTCAAATTTTGATCCGAAGATCGGTTTTAAAACCATTTGCTCCGATACCAAATTGTAACACCCTAATCCGTCCAGGCCTGCAGCACCTTTTGGACTAAAGTATTAACTTGGAAATCATAAAAATTTAAAACTTTTCAAACACTTTTATTTATCACAATAATATTTTTCATAACATATACAGTACGGAGTATTCAACAATATTGCGGAAGCGAATTAAAAATTGACATATCATAATTCATTTCAAAACTTGTCACATCCATCCCGACAATCTCGCCTCATCTGCCACCAGGATCACATTGTTCTTTCTGTTTACTTGCGTGTAGCAAATAAAACATACTACACGCTCAGCGGTAAAGCTGAGTAAGCATATCTAATGCGTCGAACATCCATATAAACTGAATCTAAATTCATAATCAAATCATTTGATATCATGCACACAATGTTCACTTCAGACATTCACAGTTTTGATATTATTCAGTTCTTATCAACATATTTTATTCAATTCAGTTATTATTTCGATAGTGCTCTTAAATCGTTCTTAATCTAAGGCCAAATCATAACAACGCTCTTAACTATTCTTAGTCTAAGGCCAGATCATAACAACGCTCTTAGCTATTCTTAGTCTAAGGC